GCTGCATCTCATTTTGGTTTCTACTCAAATGAATATCTTCACAGTTTAAATACTCATTTCTTCAACTTCTGTTTGGTCAAGAAAGAAATCCAAGACTCAGCTGAATGACTGAAACATACTGCTCGTTGATGAAATACTGAAATCTTTGGTGACACTTTTTCATACTTGTGCCAATATGAGAACCGAGTTTGATGCTGGTAGCAATACTACCCTCTTTTTGACCCGACCCGGAGAAATATTGGTTCGAACACTTTTTATTTAACCAAAGAAACCAACTGTGCCTGAATTTAATAAGAACATTCACTTAACTGGCACCCACCCTCCAGTTCCCTCTCAGGTAAACACGGGTAGTTCTGTCAGCGCTGTTGCCGTCGTTTGCGCTGTTTGCACCTCAGCCGTGACGTCGCCATGTTGAGAGGCAACATGAATGCTGCCACTCTCATTGATAGCATCTTTAAATCAACTATCTGATCCAACAAAAAGTAAACAAATCTGAGCTCAGACTTGATACTCTCTGTTAGTACTTGACAGGTTTTCTGACAGTTTTTGATACTGTGTTGTAGTTATTTTGCTTTTTATATCACAAAAAGTCTCTGAACTATTTCTTCATAACTAAATAAGCAGCAATCAGAGTTAAAGTTTGGATTTATTTATGTATTACTTAGTACGAGGTTAGCGGTCAAACGGAGGCCATGCGGCTGTGGCTCGGCAAATAGAGCGTGTCATCCTTTAACCACGAGGTTGTAGGTTTTAATCCCTGGTTGCTGCTGTCCGCATGTCAAAGTGTCCTTGAGTAAGACTCTGAACCTGAAGTTGCTCGCTGAGCGCTTTTCGGCAGCTCAATGCTCCTCAATGTTTAGGATGTGTTAAATGCAGAAATCAAGTTTCATGTGCCGCTATATGACGAACGTAATAACGTTTTTGAAACTCAGCTAATCAGGATTGTGCGTCACCACAATTACATTTTGCTTCAAATATTGCTAAACTTCGATTGTTGCGGAGGGAAGTGACGTCACAACAACTGAACCCAGTTTCAAACCAGTGAGAAAAGCAACAACAACATGCAGAAATCTTTTAGGTGAAATTAACCAAAACTGCCCAAACTTTAACAAATAAATGTGTCTTTATGTAGCATCACATCACTTATAGTAAGATGCCGATTGAAAGAATAGGCATCAGGGTCCGTTAAGGTTCGAACAACTGTCAAACAACTGCACAATCATGAAATATTTAATATTCAGAGAAGTAACAGAAAGGTCTATGAAGTGAGGCAGTGAGCCTTGTTTACTCCTCTGAAAGATCAAGACTTGAAGAAGGAAAAATAAAGATCACAGTTTGACAGTTGTGAAAGAGCTGTGGGCAAAGATTCACCCCAGATACTTGTTCAATTAATTATTAAAGCACATAAAAACCAGCGATACTTAATGCCTTTTCTTGTGCTAATAGAAAATGAACAGGCTTTTGTTCTTGTACGGCAATTTGTAGGACTTTCGGCCCCGTCAGCTCCATTGTTATCTTTGCTGAAATTCCATTACACACACACACACACACACACACACACAGCGGGGAACTACCCAACTACTGTTTAAAAAAATGCACTTCATAAAAACAGCAGGGACTGTAAAACATCATTTCACAGTGTCCCTCTGTACAACGAATCATGAAGAAATTGATTTTCACGGAGACTTTTGCTGAAACTCTAACGCATTATGAAGAATGGTTTTATTGTTTTGGAGCTCTTCTACATGCTTGTAATTCATGCTGTTCATTTGTCATTAAATAATTAATTCACGGCAACTTTACTGAACTCCTTTATCGTATATACTGTATATATATATATTACACAATACTTTCTGTTTTAAACCCACTTAACGGGGAGCTTATTGCATCGGTATAATATTAGTGCAGAGGCTGTTTGTTTGTATAACACTGTATCGTCCTGGCTTTTTATTTCATTTTATCACACCAACTCTGCAAATGAAAGAAGATCAGAGTTGTGTGTTGGATGAAGCATTGAGGGGCTGAAATGGATTAGTCAAACCAGCATACTGTCAGAGGAATATTCAGATATTCAGCACACGCCCACATCAGGTACAACCCACAGTAAGTGCGGCATTTAAGACAGTGCCAGATGCCACCCGTAAAACACGATGCATCTTAAATTTGTGCCTTTATCTCATGGGGGATCAAACATAGATGTGTCCTGCCAACAGACTCCTTCACATAATATCATAGTTCATAGTTACTGGCAACAGAAATCAGAGTGGTGAAAGCTTTTGAGCAGTTCTCTGAGACGGTGCGACAAGGCTACCAGAAGAACAACTCGCAGTAAATCAGTGTATCGCTGCACAGCTGTAGTTAAAGTGTGTCCAGATGCACCCATAAACACATCCAGCAGTGATGTGATGGTGAAGGGACCACCCCTTGGAGAACAGTACATCACTGCAGCAGGGAGAGAAGTACACTACAGGAGGTCAGCAAGGGCAGCAAAAACAGGGCCGTGAGCTTCCTTTCAATCTGACAAAAACAACCTCCCTAAAGGTTGTCTGTATGACACTCAGAGCATTAATATAGCCGCAAACAACTATTAGCTATGTAAAGATATAGGATTATCGTCCTACCTGAGCAGAGAATGAAGTCGCCCTTCCTCTGTGCAACGAATCCTCAAAGGTTCATATAATATCTCATGAACAAGTTGCTCCTCATTTTTTGTGCGTTTTCCTACGAAAGCCCAGCATCACATGTCACTTTCCGCTCGTTACATGCGTACAGTCTTTTCAAAGTAAACTTCCGTCTTCACAGGAAACCCAGTTAGGGTTAGGCAGCAACACTACTGAGACAGGTTCAGGAAAAGATCGTCGTTTGGGTTAAAACAACAACCAAAGAGCTGTTAATCAATGTTGAGGTCTCGTTTGTAGGACCCCTCCACCTCCCCCCCTCCCGCCCGCCCTGTGTGCGCGCTTTGGCGGTCTTTATATTTCCTCGTCCGTGATTACGTGGATAACATTCAAAATCATTTATTTGGATATCTACGAATTAGAATTGGGAAAACAAAATGGGGGCGACTAGGGGAGGAAGACAAACCTCCTATAGGAGATATTAAAGTATCTCTAATCTTTCCCGACATGAATTGCCAAATTCTGGCAAAGCAATTTCATGTCAAAGAAGATCAAATAAGAGATTTGTGGGATGAGATTTATGCGTCCCTTAAATTGCTTGACAAATCTCTTCATATGATTAGTTGATACATTTTTAATACCTTAAAACACATACTCCAAAGCCTTTGAATTGCAAATTGTTTGGAGAGTGACAAGATTATGGATGAGTTGTAACAGGTTTATGTAAATCTCACCAAACACCAAAGAGTTTTTTAAAATGCAGAATTAAGTTTGAGTGTCTGAGGTTTACAAAGCAACTTCAACTTCTTCCTTGATGTTTGTCAAATGTTCATACTTTCATGTCATATTCAGCAGATTTAAAACAGCAGATTTTTTGCCTTTCACATCACTGATGGAAACATAATAGTGTACCTCCAGATCAAAGAGGCATGAATGCATTTCTCTGGTCCATTATTGACTCTTTGATTTCGGGCTCAGTCATGTGAGACCATTTTCGCCACATGATGCATTATTCCAACAGGAGGAGGTTTTTGTTATTTCTCCTCTCTTCTGACTACTTGTAAAAAACTACTTTGTCAAAATGAACAGATGTGGGGAAAATTGGGCGTAGCATCAGCCGTAAATTAATTCAAATAAAAAATGGATGGGGGGTGTAGTTTTGAATTAGTTGAAATGAATTAATTTGTCTTTTCAAATGGGCTGCTGGTGTGACCCTTGATTGGTGTTAATTACCTCCCATAGATTTAGGAAGCAAGTCATGCACTGACAAAATATGCAAGGTTTTCAATTACCAATTTCATTTTGATAACATATGTTCAGCCACATTTGCTTAAAGATGTTAGTTTGTCTTGATTTAATTAGCAGCATATTTTGATGGTGACATTTATCTAATGTGCTTCTAGCTGCATGGGTTTGTGCTGAAGAGTCTCTCCGCACTTAAAGTCTGAATGAAACCAGAGAATAATGAGCTGGAGGGAAGTTTGCTGTTTCCGCTCTCCATAGCAACAAGTGGTAGGATGTCGAGCGTCTTCAAATTCCCGAAAGCAGCAAACAGCCGAAAGGTTTCCTGTTGACACAATGGCTCACTAACAAAAAACTAAAATTTGCAAAATGCATGATTTGGGCTCATTAAGTTTTTATTTTTCTGTTTGGAATAAAAGGATTGAACGTTGTGAGCTCTCACAGGGCTCAGAGTTTATCACACAGTGCTCAATGTTATATGTAATAAAAGGGTTCAAATGTTGTACAATACAAAACTTTTTCAGCATATTAGCATCATTGGCAAAATTCCATAATAACCTTTTTGCACATTTTGCAATTCAAGTGGTAAACCAGGGTGGGTGGTTTTCAGCAAAAGACAAGAAAAACACCAGAATTTGAAAATACAACCCGTATCCTGCAGCTCTCTCCTCTTTGTCCTAAGCCCCTCCCACCAGACGAGCCCACCCATGCGCACAAGCTTCATACAATAGCCTGCATGAGTACTAGTCATTCATAACATGATCCATCCATCCATTATCTTTAGCTTATCCGGTGCGGGTCGCGGGGGCAGCGGGCTAAGGAGGGTATTTCAGACATCCCTCTCCCCTGCAGCTCTTCCTTGGGATCTCAGAGTGCCCTGAAAACCTCTCAAGAGAGGCGTCAATGAAGCATCCTGATCAGCTGGCCCCTTTTGACGCGAAGGAGCAGTTTCTAACCCTACCTCTAAGGCTGAGCCCAGACAAGACTCATTTCACCGCTTGTATCCGCAATCTCATTCTTCCGGTCACTACCTAAAGCTGGTGAACAAAACCCTAAGATACTTCGAGAACTCCTTCTCTTGGGGCAGTGACTCACTCCCAACCCGAAGGGTTGCAATCCACCATTTTGCTGCAGAGAACCATGGCCTCAGACTTGGAGGTAGTGACTCTCATCCCGACCGCTTCACACTCTGCTGCAGTGTGTGCTGAAGGTCCCGTTCTGAAGGAGCCAACAGCATCACATCATCTGCAAAGAGCAGAGACGTAATTCAGGGGTCCCCTAATTGGACACTCTTCTCCCTCCAGCTGCGCTGTCCATGAAATCCTGTCCATGAAACCGGATCGCTGACCAGGGACACCTGACAGAGCCCAACACCCATCCACCTTCTTACAGTTGCCTATGCGAACACTCGTCATTCATTTTTAAACACCATCCTTCCTACAGCACCCTGGATGTGCATGTGAATCTGCATTTGTAGAACAGCCAATAGGAACACTCCTTTATCTGAAATGAGCCGAGATTGGCCAGAGGCTCCCGTCATGGGCTAGATTTTCTGAAACCTAAAAAAAAGAGCCAAGAGCAGGTGCAGCAGTATAGTGTTCTCTCAGACCACTTGAATTACAATATGCTGAAATGCCAAAAAGATACCTACCACAGATTTACGGGCTCTGAAGCAGCTCTCACAGAGCAACATTTTAAACTCCTCCATGGGGGTGACCATGACAATCACGGATGGTATTTGAGTCTTTATGTTTTCGACTATCCGCCCGTACTTCTGTAGTGAATGCAATATCTCAGGAATGCCGGAAGGTAAAGATTGAATTGATAAGAGTCCGTTGGTCAAATGGCACTGTCACCTCAATGAACAAACATTTGGCCATAACTCAATAGTTAAAATGCCACTGATGACAATTTTCCACAAATGTCTACTAGGATAAAATGATGAAGTGACAGATATGGATGTAAATGATGTTGGCAGTCGGCCTGAGACATATAATAAGATCACGTCTATCCTCTGCTTCCAACAGCAGCCTAAGAATCCTGCTGACTATGGCAGTCATCTGTATATAAAACACGACTTCACAAAGGAGGGAGTGCACGGCCCTGAGGAGAGCCGGTGCATAGAAAGAGTATCATAGATGATGTACGATTTACTCTCAAACACTTCAACCTGTTAGCAAGATACATCTGCTGTCCAGCCAGCTAAGGTTATATTTCACTTGAGTTCAAAGCTTTTCAGCAAACAAATGTGGTTGGATTGCGCTTAAAGCTGATCAAAACAACAACAAATAAATCAATAAGCAGAGCCGTGCGTCTGCTTTTACACCATCCACATTACTGGTGTCTTCATTACTAATCATGTGAAGGCCTATAGGCTCTTCCTGCTGCAGCAGACATAGAAATAAAGTTTTAAAAATTTCTCTCTTTTCTTCTTACCGTCAGTCAGTAAGACTATCCTTCACGCTTACTCTCTTTCCTTTGACTCCCTCTCTGTGTGATCCTGGTTCCACCTCAATCATCAGCCGACTGGAGGCGTTCACTCTTTCAGTTACCGACCAGATTTTGCCACAAATCGATGTGAAATTGTCACAATTTTCAGGTTCGATGCAACCGTCCTCCACACCCTTCACCTCCAATCTTCATCACAACCAGTCATCACAGCTGGCCTTCCAGTAGTGCTGCGCACATCTATTCACTCTGTTCAATGTAAAGGCATCCACATAACTATGATACACTCTCGACAAGTGACGTGGTATAAAATGCGAGTGGGACTTGTTACGGTGGGCTGGGGGTGGACACACATTGTACAGGAGACCGGTGCCCCAAAGTGGTGTTGTTGTTTTTACGCTGGTGACGTTTTTCTGTACTTATATTACGTTGTTTACTTATGTAATTTACTGAGTTGACGTAGTTATTTTAACCAAGCCCAACCATGATGTTTTTATTAAACCTAACCGCGGTGGTTTGGCGTATTAATGACACGCGGACATGTGGTGCTATTTATTCGCCTTCCCATGCGTTCGGGTTGGATAATCCACTGATTTTTCTACTGAAATATTTTATTCTGAAGGTACATAGTGGAGAAAGATCTGTGCCGTAGGGACACACTTTTCCATGGTGCTGCAGTTTTTAGAAATTTTTTTTTTTTTTTCATTGCTGTGAGAACCACAAATTATATTCCATCTGCCTCCATTGACTTTGGATGACAGCACAAGTCTCAATGGCAGAAATCCCAAAACCTCAAACTACATTCAAAATGATTTGCATGGTTGGATACCAGAATAGAGAGAGTGTGTGTGTGTGTGTGTGTGTGTGTGTGTGTGTGTGTGTGTGTGTGTGTGTGTGTGATTTAGCTGAGATGACTCTATAGATGATATCATCTGATTAGGATTAAATATTATTTGTTGACAGTAAACTTCCAAACTCAATCCAGGTAATGTGTCATGACAATCAGGGACATAGCCAGGATTTTAGAAACACTGAGGTCAAGTTCCCTCAATGCCCCCAAAAATACTTCACCTCAGTAAACTGCTCATTTATTATTCTTTCCTGCATTGTTTTTTTTTTCGTACACGAAGGTCTAAATTCTGCTTCAAAGTCCTCTCCACACTTCCAGGAATAATAATCTGGGAAACAGTTGAATTATTTATTTAGAGTTTTAAACATATTAAGGATATAAAAACGGTGGAATGAACCAAAGAAATATGGACCATGTGTTTGTTTTGTTTAACTATATAATGTAACAATGCTTGGGTTGCTAAAACCACCAACACACAGGAAATGACCTCACTGTCCTCAATGATGACTTTGATCTTTCCTAAATCATAACCAAGCAGTTCCTAAATTGAACCCGACTTCAATGAAGGGGGCAGATCAGAAAGTGTTTACATGAGTCTGTTTGAAACATTCAGCCTTTGAGAATGTGTGGTTTCTAGCAGGAAATATTCAGAGCTCGCTTTGGACGCTGTGATATGTCCTGATGGTGGAGGTTTTAAAAATAAAAAAAGAATCAATCAGTTTGCTTCAGCCACAATCTGCAGCCACATGGAAGAGAGTTTGCAGTTGGCAGCCCAGTCTTGTTCTCAAAAGTTGCTCAGTTCTGACAAGTGTACCTTACCCTACCGGCCCACCAACAGTGGCTGGAGGAGGAAATCAAACATACAGCAATTAAAGAGCCAGATGTGTTTTTTATTAGAAGCTAGAGTAGATCAAGCCTGAGCTGAAAGGAGACAGTAAAAAACGACAGCGTCGGTTATTTCAGTAAATTAGGGCTGAAATTGTTAGTCGACACTCAAACGATTTTGTCGATTAATCGTTTTAATTGACAGATCTGTAAAACTGAGTTCCTTCACAAAGAATCACACAAAAGCATTTTAAATCCCTTGTTCACCAGAGATTACAGCGACCAGACGTCACTCAATAATACCTACACTAACATACAAACATAAGCAATGCAAGTTTAAATTTGAATTCATCACTGATTTGTCTGTATGTCAATCAATCAATCAATCAATGTGTTATTGTCAGGCTGTTGCTGTGACACTTATGGCTCTTCCTGACAGAAGCAGTCAGTATGCTAACGGTTAGCTGTCATGTGGAAGACAAAGTCTTTTCTAAAGAGCTCGAGGGGGCTCACAACTCCCTTCATAAAGTACTCAGCAATGAAAATACTGCGTTCTGCATACACTGCAAGGGAACATTTTTGGAGGCTCATGGTGGAAATGCCAAAATAAAAGATCATATTAAGCGACAGCAATATACAATAGCAGGCCTATGGTATGTGCATAACCGCACACTTAAGGGTCCTGGTTCGGGGGTTTGAAAATACACAACCAGAGATTTGAGAATAAGTTTGTTGGAGATGAATCATTCAGCATTAAAACACATAAAGAAGCGTGACAAAGCCCTGTAGGAATTGTGACTGTTGTCCATTAGGATTAAAGAAGTGAACAGTGTGACGTTGTTGAGCAGCTAAAGTCTGCAGATGGAGGAGGACCGCAGTGTTGGATGGGTCAACAAAACGTTGGATTTTGACTCAGTAGAGCCGGCAGTCAGTGTGTTTTAACCAGGAAGTTGTTTCAACCTAAAACATGATCTTTTTCCAACCCTAACAAAGTCATTTTTGCACCTGAACTGAAACTTAATCTCTTGCTTGAATGGGATGTTCTGATAAGGAACGGTGCATTTTCAATAAAGGACTTTGGCTTTACAATACATACGTTCATGAGATCACCTTAATCACCTGATTAATGTTGTAATGTTTCTTTTTTCTCTTAGTGTTGGAATTATAAAGAGGAATAGATATTATTATCTTGATATATCTATATCTTTAAGCCCTTATCTTTACAGGCAGCTGTGGCTCAGGAGAAAGAGCGGCTTTAATCACAAGGTTGGCGGATACCGATAAGAGTACTGATCTGATACCAGTGTTTAATTAATAAGCCGTATGTCTCACTGTGTGGAAGGGACTGTTGTTAACCCCAATGTAAGTCTCTTTGGACCCAATGGCATCACGTGACGGCACGAGCCTTTGCAGATGACACGTGAGCTCAGAGCCCGCACAAAGGCGTCTAATGTTTGTTGCATTATTCTACAAAACGACAAACGATAAACAATATGTACTGTGAAGAAGCAAGAAGACAACGAGTTTAACCGATAGAACGCCATAAACCAACCGACTCAACGCTCAGGAGGGATTGTATTTTTCTGTAAACTCATATTCATGGATTACTTTATTGCCTTCATACACACCCTGTAAATTAAGAAGTCAAGTATTAAATGTATTAAAAAGAAACGAAGGTTGAATATCCTGTAAACTATATGATTTGGCTGCAAAATATTTACTCAAATGTAGATTTTTAAGACCTCCTGTTTCTAAAGCTTTAAAAAAAACGTCCTTTGTATATTCCCCATGTGTAAATAGTGCTTTTATCAGTGAACTATATGTGACGGTCACATGTGAAAAGCTACACTACAGCGACCATAAACTATGCTTAACCCTGCTACAGACCCTTGAAGCCCCCCCGCTGCTGCACAGAGCGCCATCGCTTGTTTATGCAAAGTGTATTAATACTGAACGTGTCCCGTGTCCATTATGCACCACAACCTGCCCGTCCCGAGGTTCTGAGCAATACTAATATTAAACCTCATCACCAGGCTACAGCCATGAGAGGGGACCAGATCTCACTCTTTTGGGGGCAAACTGAATACATGATTCACACATCAAAGTTACACATTAGGAATAATACATGAAGCGCAAACTTACTTTTCTCGCTGTGGTACCCATGAACTAATCCTTGGCCCCGAGAGCTTCACGATTTTATTCATGTATGAAGAATAATTCAGATTAGGAGCGTAATCATACTAACACTATTGCACTATATCAATATGTATTCCTGACCCATGCTCTAGACGGGGCGCTCATGACTGCAGTGAGATCAGAGCATTGGTAGTCGCGTACTTCATTAAAACATCCACCTGTGTTGCACATCGCGAGCCCAGGAGTCGAGTACATCTATGGCACATGTATATTTAATAGGGGAAGCGTTCAGAGAGGCTTCCTTTCATAGCCACATCAAAATCATAGCAATGTGGGTATTTCTGCGCCAACTTTTTGTGATGTTTCTGATGCAATAAAAGGCAGTTTAGTTGTCAGGTATTTATTGAAGACAACTATGGTCTCTGACTGGGTCTCGTTTTAATCAGCAGCCAGAGGCTCTGCTTCAAACTCACAGACCTGCTGTGAGAAGAGGAGGTGGTCCAGATGGCGGTATCAATTTAAACTCTGCAAATCTGTGGGACTGTAAAGATTTAAACTGCTGGTTTTTTTTTTGTGATCGTAGTGAAAGTGAAACTCCCCGTAAAAAGCTGCTACATTGAAGGAACTTCGATACAAACAAGACCACTTTTTGGAAACCGTGATGATTAGAAGTTGCTCGAATTTAGTCCTGAGCGTAGAAATAGAATAGGAAGAGAACGGCCATGTGACGGCTGGTTGCCTGGAAAATAATCCTTGAAACAGTCCCACTGTCAGTCATTTTGATTCTTGACAATAACAAGATATAAAATGTTAGTTAGTGAGATTTAGAGGCGCTGGTTGGCGGATTTCGTTACGACAGAGTCAGGCTAGCTATCTTTATGCTAAGCTAAGCTAACTTTGTTCTGGGTGTAGCTCAAAGAAATAGAATAGGAGTTGAGCGGAAAATTAACAGTTTCCCGTCGTCTATTGACTAGTAAAAGAAAATGCTGAGTGTTAGTTTTTATGGCGACAACACACGTCAGTGGTGTTGTCGCAGCTCCCCAGAAAGAGAGCGGACGAAGCTCTGGAGACGGATGGTTGGCTAGTTAGCTAGTAAGCTTGTCCTTCTCTGGAGTGGAGGGACTGTGAGACCCAGCACTGCTGATAGCACTAAAGTCGATCAGTAATGGTCACCGTGACAGCCCCACAATCATCTCTTCCCAATATTGTCCTGTCTGAATAAAGTGTTAAGTAACCACAGCATGTCTAATTTGTAGACCAGCTGCTCTAACACAACAAAACATAAATGATCTTCATCGGCCGATATTGATCGGAAATGAGCGGCAAATGGTATCGGCGGCAAAAAAAGCGTGATCGGGAATAAAAGTTATATTTGCACTCTTTTTCATTTTGTGCTGATCCGATCCACGACTTAAATCGGTGATACAATCTGAACCGTGAGGTTTATGATCCGTTTTATTCAATAGATGGATGAAGCCAGCAATGAATTGATAGCAGTGTTATATCAATTCTATGTATACGGATATACATGTACACAATTACAGTATATCGGTACAGTAAAAGAAAATGTTTCTGTTGATAACTTCTTGTAGATTTGAAGGAGGCACATCTGTAGATATTGGTCATGTTGTTATATCCTCCCCTCCAATGAGCTCAAGAATCTGACCTCAAAATGTTCACGAGCATCAATTCCCAGCGTTCCCTTTCCTTGATCCCTCGCCCTTCTCACTGCGTCTTCATTACAGAGCACACTCCGGAGCGTAATAAGGGCGCATTGTGACCCAAAGACGCTTTATCTGCACGCCGCTGAAACCTCCCGGCCGAGCTAGACAGTGAACAGAAACCTGCCTCAGTGAATGGAGCCGCACCGCATGAGAGCTTTTTTTGAAATTTTCACCTTGCCCTACTTACTTCCAGAGCTCATTAAATGAGATCTCGTGTTCAGGCTGGAAATAGAAAGAAAAGTTGGAGGGGAGAAACAATAAGTGTGTATTTAGCCATGTAAATCTTATTGCCTCTCGGAGATCTGGCAAGTGGCCGTAGTGTGAGTGTGTGTACGACGGATGCGTCTGATAATCCTTTCATATATTTGTCACAGTTTTTCAGTATCATTCTGTGGCTCTGAAGGAAAACCTGCTGTGATTCTTTTGGAAAAAAAGGAAAAACAGGATCTTTGGACTCCGAAGAGAGCAGCTGGATTCTTCAAACATTGCTCTGAAATATTAAACACCTATCCTCTTTAGTGAAGGTGTTAATTAGCCTAATATCACGACTCAGTGTGATTAATGGGAAAATTTTCTTTGAAATGTTCAATGGTGTTAATTAACATAATGAGGATAAATCCATGCAGTTGATCTTTCGCAACTTGTGTCATTTGTCCATTTATACCGTGTGAACCAAACCATAGGTGTAAAGGTGGTATTTTGGTAAATACCAAGCAGCAAACTCCGGATCTGAAAAGTGTCTTAAACCTGCGTTCTCTCTAATGTCCAGCAGGGGGCGACTCCTCTGGTTGTATAGAAGTCTATGAGAAAATGACTCTACTTCTCTCTTGATTTATTACCTCAGTAAACATTGTAAACATGAGTTTATGGTCTCAATCTCTAGTTTCAAGTCTTCTTCAATACAGCATGATGTTCATTTAGTAAATGATGGTCCATTTAGAGTCACATAGACCATAAAGCAGAGTAAGACGGCCAAACTGCAGCACTCAAGGCTTCAAAACTGTAGTCCACAAACCAATCGATTTAGCTGTTGTGTAGCCAACACCGTCTCCGAGAAACTACGTTTGTATACCAGCAAATTTTAAACTTGCTCTCTTCGAGACATTTTTTATTATCTCAAAATATCCATGACTTCGTTTTTATGATTAAATTTAGGCACTCGGTCATGGTTAGCTAAAGATAATGTTCCTGGTTTGATACAGATAAAGGTTTGCAGTGACATTAATCACAAAACACAAAGTGATTATCAACATTTCACCAAAACCACAATCTTTCCCCAACCTCAACCAAAGTGATTTTGTTGCCTGGACCTAAAGAGGAATAAGTTAATAATGCCCAAAACGTAGCCAAGTACTGTAGCTGGGGTGGCAATTTTGTTACTGATGCAAATACCATTTCAAGTTCATAAAGTTAAAAATATGGAGTTTGTCTCATATCAGTTTTACTGGCGCCAGAAATCTCTCTCTAGTGTTGTGGTTGAATCTTTCTGGGTGCTTTCACACCTCACTTGTTTGGTTCAGCTCAAACTCTGCTGTTTGCCTTGTGGTGTGAAAGCTAATCTTAATCTTAAACATGTTTGAATGAATATGCTTATTGAGTGTCTAAAGAAAGCAATGTTCAAAAGAGATCTGTTAGAACAACCTATATAATTATGCAAGATCATTTGCTAAAAAAAAGCCAACGTGTTAGCACACGAGACCAGAGAGTTCCCCTCATACATGGAAAAGATAAAAGAGAAATTTCTCATTAAAAAGGCGAGTGAGAAAGAAGCGACCACACAGTAGCCATCCCCCCTATGATATTACAGTAAGAGATGCCCTGCTTTCTAACCACTCATCATTATTCATCATATATCAGGTCCAGCTGCAACCAGGACTAATCGTGCTCATGAACCAGAGCAGCCACATGAATACATTTGGTGCACCAATGTGCTACATGCTTCAAGTCACCGCTGTTTCATTTTGGGTTCTTAAAGCGCCGATGATGCACGATGACCGTCACCAAAACCGTCCAATAAAGGAGTTTCCTGCCAGTCCACATGACTCGCTAACTTTTAAACTGAACTGACTTACAGAAAGTCGCTGAGTTGAGGTTTTGTACTGACGACTAAAACGAGCAGTAGAGTAGCAACGGTAGGAGCCAGAGCAGATGAGCTAGCCTGACTCCAGAGACAAAATCTGTCCACCAGCACCTCTGAAGCTCAACAAATAACATTTTATTTCTTGTTATTGTCGAAAAGGTAATTCCAGTAAATGATAGCGGGACTGTTTCCTGGCAGGGATTAGTTGCCAGGCAACGCGCAGAGATTTCAGGAGGCTATTGTTTGACGTCAAGAAATTATAAATAACAAAACACAATTTGTCATTCTTGTGCTTCTTTTTGTTCGGCTGAAGCGAAGGAGGTACGACATGTTAATTAGTGAGCTGTAGAAGTGCTCGTGGGCAGATCTTGTTTTTTGTTGCAAAGAGCCAGGCGAGCCGTTTCCCCATGTTTCCAGTCTTTATGCAAAGCTAAGCTACTTGGCAGCTGGTTCTAGACTTAAATTCAAGCCAATGAGAATATTCTGCCAAATCTAGAGCTACTCCTTTCAACCGGGTTTGGAGGCTCACATTGTTTTGAGCTGCTACCTCTGTTCATCCAATTGCTGCTTGTCTTAAGTTCTTTTGTTTTTCTCCTCCTCAAACTTTCTTGTAAAAAAAAAAAAACGAAAGCCACAACAATTCTGCAGATATTCTTATGCCCCACCGTGTTTGACCGTGTTTCTGTTTACGATGGGTTTGATTGTGTTCTTGCCTCACTGACCCCTTTTCTCTGTGTTTCCTCTGCAGTTGGGAGGATGTGGCATACTGGGAGTGGGAGTCTGGCTCTCAGTGACCCAGGGAAACTTTGCCACCCTATCATCATCCCTTCCCTCCCTGTCGGCGGCCAACTTGCTCATCGCAGTGGGGACCATAATCATGGTGATTGGCTGTTTGGGCTGTGTGGGGGCCGTCAAAGAGAGCCGTCCCCTGCTGCTGACGGTAAGTTATTAACCAGAAAGCTTGTCTGATGCTGTCGCTGACTTTAGACACAAGGCTGTGTTGATGTGATGATGCCACGTTCTCATATTACATTTAGTTGTTGTTTGCAGGGCAAATAACATCACTAACATTTCATAAAGTAAATAAGCTTTGAGTTTCTGTCCCCCTCTATCACTAATTTACATACGCTGGTGATTCAGCCTGTATTTACTGTGAACAGCTGCTGTCTGAGCGAGCTTCACTGTGGAAAAGTCTTTCATTATACATTTGATGTTTGTATTTTCTTTTCATGCCACTTTCTACTTCTACTCCACTATAATGGGAAGTGTTGTACTTTTTACTACAGTACAATAAATAATTAGTACAGCCTGAATAATTAGTTGTCTAGCTGATAAGTTGACAGAAAATTAATTGGCAACTATTTTGATAATTGTTTAAGTAATTTTTTGTGCAAAATTTACAATTTTTTTTATTGTCTCCAGCCTCTCAAATGTGAGGATTTACCTATTTTTCTTTAAATTATTTGAATCCATTTATGTATAATTGTGAGGTGTCTATCGAGTACTGAATACTTCCTCCACCACTGCTTTACACACTGGTGTGTTATGTTTATACATTGAACTGGGACATTGAGACTTCTGACTCTCAACAGCCACAGAGCTAGCTGCCAAGCTGTCTGAAAATGATGTGATGTGACGCCAAGTCGTTTATCTATCTGGAGGAAGACACTCTGTCCTTTCAGACAAACACCTTTGAACAAGCTTAAATAGAACAGACACAGGAAGAGTTTCCCTCTGTGGTTAATTAGCAAACCAACAGAATTAACATTATTTAGCTGCAGCTGTTTCAATCCATATACACTAATGGTGTAAAATATTCCCCTTCAGCTTGTTAAAACAGTGTTGTATATGTAAATAATGGTGTAAAGGCTGCACCAGCACAGGCTACGAATCATTAAAGATGACACACAACACAAGAGGTTACTCGACTGCTAATAATTGATGGAGATTCAAGCTTAATTTAAAGCCCTGTCCATGTTGCCTTTGGTGTTAACGCACCATACATTTAAGCAATACACCCTCCGTAACATAAACAACGTGTTCATGTTCACACAACAGTGGCTCTCCCAAAATATTTATACGATGTTATACTATTACATTTCACCTTGTACTCTATCCATATGTGGTACTGTTTTATTACATCATATATGTTATTATATCAATATAAGGGTTTCTATATGTATGCAGACAAACACTACTGATTAGTGACGAGAGACTTGTGGACTCTGCTCTTATTAATCACACCACTGTCACTTTAGTCTTGTAATTTTGTCTGTATTATTCTTGCATAGTTTCTATTTTTTACTTTTATTCTACTTTAGTCCTCTTATCTGCATTTATGTATGTCCCGGCCGCTGAATCAATAAGTCCTTATCTGATCTCGTCTCATCTTTAAAACACCTTTCCCAGTCATGTGAAGTGAATGGCACTGCTGACATGCTACACATTCTGTATCAGTGGCCACATCTGACTGTTTTCATTCATTATGCTACATTTGACATTTCCTGTGTGTTATAATTTAGAGACTGTTTCCCTGATTTAATTAAACATAGTGAGAAAAAAAACAGAAAACACATGAATGATGACAAGATAATACAAATACAATCATGATTATGGAACAAGGAAAAATGATTTGATCTTTCTATTAAACAATGAAAATGATATTGTGAATATGGAGCTGTGGCTTCACTGAGAGGAAACTCACAGCACTTGATGGGCCATATGGGGGTCTAGCCTGGTCTTCAAGGGCACTGGCCACTGACACGCCTGCTCTTATTTTATCCAGTTTAATGTCTAGATATATATATTTTTATTGCTTCACTAATCTCAGTAGAACAGCCTCTGCTTCTTTCTTTGGGGTTTAACAGCTTTTGAAGTCATGTTGAAGTACAGACAGCACTGATCGTTACTGAAGGGGTGTCTGACATGAATTTGCCAACGGAGAATATAGCTTTCTCTCTCTCTCGCTCTCTCTCTCTATATATATATATATAATATATAATATACAGTATACACACACACACACCTCTATCTTTACATATCTCTCTCTATATCTCTACATCTCTTTATTTTAGGTATATATGTATATATATATCTCCCCTCGATGGGGATATCGATGTATATAGAGATATAGATACACTCCCTATTATGCAAATCGAGTCAACAGGAAGAGCTTGACATGAAATATTGTCCCGCTCTAATCTACACACATTTTGCTCTGATTTCAAACAGCGCATCCCTGATCAAGTGTGAATCCCGGATGCTTATAAGTTTGGTAATTATTTTGATAAACAAGCTCATGTAATCAAGCACCGACGCTGCACAGCATTTATCAGAAAGAAGAATTCCGTATGGGGAAAAAAATATAAATTATCATTGGAAATAACGGCACAGCTGGGTGATCAATTATGAGCTCTGTGGGAATGAGTCTCAGTGTCGATCGTTAGCATGATCCATGGAATTTTCCCCACAGTGACCAGACCGATTCCTGCGCTGTGTCAATGTAATGAGTGTGCTTTGATGAGTGAGAGAGCAGCCCGTTCTTCATGGAGATTAGAAAAGACTCTTCTCTTCAAATGTCAGGGCTAATTAGCACGCTGATGGCCGTGAGATATTTGAGGACTTAATGTTGCGATTCGTGCTGGGAAAAAAGTATTACTTCTTTTAGTGAATCTTGTGATGTGTAGCCACAAACATCAGTGCTAATGCTTTTGCAATTCTGTTATCTGGATTTTCAGACATGTTAGACTTTAAATGAATGAAAAACGTACTGTTCCTTCTGTAAGCTTCAGTCTTGAGTTAGTAATGCAGCAGTTTTTGGACAAAGTTACTGAGAGAAATGTTGGTTTGCAATATTAATGTGGAAACGAGCTCTTAAAAAGGCCCTGAAGACCCATTTTCCGCTTCATACTATGAGAGATGAAAACACTATTTGCTGCCAAGTTACAACAATAGAATTGCAAAACGATGTTTTAGACGGAAAAGCGTAATTCATTTTCTGCAAAGACAATATCAGGTGAGCCTCGGATAGACAATGAAGTGACAATGAAAGAACATCTTGTCCTTTCATTTTAAAGTCAACAATAAGATTTTAAGTTTAAGTTTAAGTTAACAATAAGAGCCTTTTTGACGACACTGAATTTCTCCAAAGTTCAATTTCAACCAGGGTTATGGGTGATTAAAGTCATGTTTCACACCAGTGAGTTCAGACAGTCAATAGTAGTGCAAGTCAAAGGGTACATGGGGGTGTGGTGGGTCTGTGACCGAATCTGCCCACAAATTAGTCAGAGAGGTGAGGTAACTGTGCTGGAAATGGAAGCTCCCTCTTACGTGGGTCTCAGATATAGAACCTGTAAAAAACGATTCAATCCGCCATATGAAGAGAACGCGGCTATCGCCCCGAGGGCTACTCTCCATAGACGCTCAAGGCTGGAAAGATCCCATCAAGGTATTGATTTTAGAGGGTGCTAATGGACTGTGGGCCTGACATGACTGCCTCACCAGCCACCACACAAAGAGCCTCTGAAGCTTTCACACTGCGTGGAAATCACAGCATGGAAGAACACAAAGGAATCAATCCCTGTACCTGGACTTTGATTATAGTTCTCATCCCAAGGCCCTGCTGAGACATCAATCTCTGCTAAACAGGGATATCAGCACTGCTGGCCGAACAAGTCACAACATAAATAAGAGTTGCATACAAGGCCGGCGTCTGCAGTGCATCAATTTTCATAATGCGTGCAGTGTGCATTTAGTCTTCAGTGGCCAATAAAAGGTGCTGTTCTTCAGATACATTAACGTCTACTTAAACGTGGAGTAAATATCACAATTCACGAGTGACTAATTGCAACGCTGCTTCTGGTGCTATGAACCTGTAAACACAGGCTGCAAACATGGAAACGGTTGAAGAAAAGCCCAACGAGAAGCTCTAGTCTGGTCCTCGAGAGTCGGTGTCCTGCAGGTTGTTGTTCACCCCTGAAGGCTTCAGTTAGATACAGACCAGCTGTGGCTCATTACCTCTCACAGTACAAAAACTGTAATGGAACAAAAAGCTGCAGGACACCGGTCCAACACGACAGGAATTTAGAGGTCTTAAAGGACCACTTTACTGAGTTTTATATCGCTGGTGATAGACTGACATGATAATACACACCATTACACGTGTCAGTGCTATCTGTTTCCCACAGGCTCGCTCTGCGAGAGCAGTAGCAGGCTTTCCCGGTCTCACTTTTTTTGTGTTATCTGGTGTTGAGAAATAGAAAAGGTCTCGAGGCCAAAAAAGGAATCTTCGCAGTTGCTTTGTCTGAGACGACATGATCTGGGTGAAAGATCTGAGGGTTGAAAGCAGCCTTCTAGCAAGATGCAGAGAGTGATGTGTGATAGTTTAACTCATACAATACAGTGCACAGTGGTGGGAAGTACATTTATGCACGTACTGTACTTAAGTACTTATTGTACTGCAATGCTTTAGGCCCGACTTAAGAGACAGCTGATTCTGTGTTGCAACACGGGTTCACTGTGGGGTGCCCCAAGGCTCAGTGCTGGGTCCAGTTCTTTTTTCCTTTTATATGTTCCCCTCTTGGCCACTTTATACGCACAGTTTCCATTTCCAGACAATGAAATAACCCAAATTAATAGTTCACACATAAAAGTCTTGGTTTTCTTTCATATTCAATAACTCAGATTAGGAGAAATTGTGTAATTTGCGGTTAAAACCTCACCTTAGATTTAAATCGATGGTTCAATCCTGCTTTTATCATCTCAGAAACATTTCAAAGATTAAACCAATTCTTTCTCCCAAAAACCTGGAGACTGTTATCCACACCATCGTAGCTAGTGGATTCGATTACTGTTACTCCTTGTTCTCTGGCATCAGCAGAGAATCCCTCTCCCACCTCCATGTTGTTCTTTTGTCTTCTCCCTTTAATCGTCTCATGACCCCTCAGATTTAACTTGTGACACTTTGGAGGGGGCCCGACCCTTTATTGGGCACCACTGAACTAAAATACTATATATTTACTGCAAAACAAGTATGTTTACAACTTTAATTACACGTTGCTGATACGACTACTTCTGTTTCTTAAGTAGAGTTGTGAATGAAGGACCTTTACTTGTAATGAAGTAGTTTTATTGGCTCTTGAGTACTTCTCCCACCACAGACAGTACATTACAGTGCATTACAGTCCAAAAACAGCTGAATCTCATTTTACAAAAGCTATACAGCTTTCTGATCCATAGAAACCCTGTTTATAGGCCTATTTTGTTTCCTTCTACTCTGATCTGCTATAAATCTTTCCTATAGTTATGCTGCTGGAAGCCACTGCTGCGAACACAGAAACGTATTTCAGTTTGAATAATGACAATTCCGGGGGAAAAAAATCGAGCCTGTTCGGGCCCTTTTTGTAATGAGATCCAAGTCTTTGTAATAATTTATCACCGCGAGACGCCGAGCACAAAACAAACACAGCTTCTTTGGATTTTAGCTGAGATGCACTGGAGCCATGTGTGTTTACACAAACATTACTTTAACTACCACGACTAAAACAGATGTAAATGTATTTCAACTGCCTGGTGCATCTCTGTCACATAAACAAGAGTCATTAGTCTCGTTAGGCAACAGCCTTTTAAGGTAACTTGGAACAAATTATGCTATATTTGTTTGTTTATCATCTCAATTAAATCATTTTTTCCCGCAAAGACATTAAATTGTTTTCAACAAACTGTTTAGATTTTTGTTAATGATTAACATGAAGTTACGTCTAATTGAATTATGTATCACGAAGTGAGCACAATTCCTCTGCACTTGACTTACTTAGCACGCTTTTATTGTTATTTTATCAGCCTGTCTTCACAGTTCACAAATGGGTTTTCATCATTTACAGCTAATTTCTGCAACCTTTTTGATAATAGCAGCCCATTCAATGCAGCATTCTGAAAGCCCTCGAGCTAATTCAATAGTTTCCTTTTAGTATATTATAAAAGGCAAAATGCAGTCTGCTGCCATCAAATGATCCCATTGAGTGTGCCTATTGTCTGAGTTAAATTTGTTATTAGCAGATTAATGGGGAAATATTCAGAGAGCCACAGGGGATGAGTCTGTTTGTTCTCCAAGTGCTGGAGAGGATCCGTTTCTCTCTCTTAACGATGTCCCTTTGCTCTCTGGTGTGATTCCACGGGCTCGAACAAACACACCAAGAGCCAAGTAGAGAAATCTGCCTTTGAGAGGCAGAGAGAGAAACGGTAAAAGGGTGAGGAAGCAATGAATGTGAATTCTTTCTGTTGGATTTCTTTGCTTTCTCTTTTGTTAGAAAAAGGTTCAAGTTTAGATTTTCAGGACTCCCAAACGATGTGCTCTTAAATCTTTAACGATTTTCAACAACAAGCAGACAAAGACAACATCTTGCGGCCTTTTTACAGATAGCAAAAAGGAAAGTAATTATCATCATCATATTTAATTCGACAAGTGGCTGTAAACATGGCTTTAAATAAAGGCTGATGGCCTGGTGCCATTCTTTATAATTGCTGTCGACATCTGAATTCTTCAGTTATTCAAATAGTTCTGGTGTTGTGTGCACGGACAGTTTTTCCCTTTATCTTCCTCTGCCTGAGCCAGAAAAACTACAACACCAAAAACAAAACAACAGTCAACATGTGCCCCGTGTGAAGCGAGAAGTCGACGTCCCAATCATTTCCTGAACCTAACTAAGTAGTTTTGTTGCCTAACCCTAACTTAGTTTTCTGTGAAGACGGAAGTATATTTTGAAAAGACTGTGTGCATGTAACAAGCAGAAATTCACACGTGTTGCTGGACTTTCGTTGGAAAATGCACGAAAAATGAGAAGTACGAACCGTTGTATGAGGAAACGTTGAAGTATTTCAAGATCATTTACTAAACCTAACCAATCGTTTTGTTGCCTTCAACAAAGTCTTTCCAGATCTTTTTTCTAAACCCAACTAAAGTTCTGTGAAAACTGAATCTAAATGTCTTCCAGAGTAGCTGCATCGTCGACCCTTCACTCTATGAGACAGTGAAGAGGAAAACAGCAGGTCAAGAAATATCACAACAAAAGGAAAAATGGTTCAGATTCAAACTTGGCTTTTGCCATTTTTTGGCTCTTTTTCCAAAAAATGGTGTTGCAGATCAAAAAAATGCAAATATTCCGCCCGTCTCGGGTAGCACCTTCAAAATGTCAAATATTCACCAACTAGGAAATACTGCAGAGCTTCTTCACTTGACTGAATTGTATTTTGAAAATACTCATCTCGCTGAAGCATTTCATCTGTCCTAAAGAGGCAGAATTGTCTCAAATCCACAGAGGAGCATATTTATTCAATAAATAATAATAATAATAATAAACACCCCCCCCCACAAATTGGAGTTACCAGGAATTTCACACCTCACAGAGCACAACATTCACAATGAAGCCTGACAGAACAATGGAAATGGAAAAGGAGCCTGAGTGAATCAAACACGCCGTGGGCGATGTGCTGTCACCTCGTCGCACCTTCCACCGTTGCCATGTTTAGTCATTCATTCATGCAGGTGCTGCCAGGAAAAGACCTCGCGGGGCAACTGACAGCCTCGCTTGATTCCGGTGAACCAACAACCCTCACACCCACTGTCAAGCTGCAGCACTCGGAGGACATGTAGCCATGATGTCTTTGGAAAAGAACATCTCTACTTTTAAAATCGGTGATGTCATTTTCTGAACATATCAGACTGTTCTAGCTGTTTTATTTGTCTTTTTACACTTAATCATTATATCCACATTACTGATCATCTATCAAAAATCACTTTGTGTAAATATCTTTGGACCGCATCAATATCAAGATATTTGGTCAAAAATAGATTTTCTCCATATCGCCTGCAGCTCTACTGAGACCCATCACATCTTTAAGTGTTCAGAGTAAACTAGAGATAACTGTTTGTACCTCCATCAATACACTGCAAACATGAAGTGCTAACAGCTAATGTGGAAAACGTCCGTCATGTTGCAGTTTACATCCGTGTCTGTCTAAAATGTCATCATTTCCACATTTTATCCTGTTAGACATTTGTGTGAAATTGTCATAACTAGCATATGAATTCTTGAGTTATGGCCAAAATTGGGTTTTGTGAGGTCATAATATCCTTTGACCACTAAAATCGAATCAGCTCACCCTTGAGTCAGGTAGACGTTTGTGCACATTGTGAAGAAATTCTAGAACAGTCTGGTGAGTTCAGGAAATGACATCATTTTACTGTAATACAGCCTTTAAAACCAGGAAAAGACAGAACCTTTGACATACTAGGATATCCAAAATCTAAGACTTTATTTACACTCATATTACGATATTGATGTAATCGCCCCGTCCCTATTCTCATGGAAGCTCTGGAGTTTAACGATTTCCCAAAAAATGAACAGATGGACAACTTGAAATAAGATCCCTGGAAAGGGCGTGTGTGTTGGGGATTGGTAAATTACATCATTCTACTACAATGAAGTTTTTAAAAACCAAGAAAACACTCACTTATTCCGTATCAGATCATACGATATCTTGTCTCATATCACCTTATTGATGTATTGCCTGTAGCCCTCCTACCAACATCTTAAGGCTCAGAAGGTCCCGTCTTATATTCCATGATTATGGGCTCTTGGTTGCAGTTGGGACCACTGAAGTAGTGGTAGATGCAACCTCTCTTCATCGAGGATATCTGTAATAGATTTCATGGCCATCCAGTCAGAGCAGAGATACTTCAGCCTGGACCAACCTGTTCTACATTCTGTGGATTTATTGGTCCGCAGACACATCAGTTGATAAACTAGTGCCATTTCATCAAGATGTCTTTTATTTATTTTGTTATTATGACGCTCTGGAATATTACACCATTGCCTCATATGACCCCCCCCCCCGTGTGGTAGACGTCCCCCCCAGCAGAGTGGTTGATGATTGAGCTCGTAACGGTTTTAAGCACTCACACGGGCCCACAGGAAGAAGATGAATCACCCATCAAGCAGGAGGGGCGGGAGGCGACTGGTGAGGAATAAAATGAGGCTCCTTTAACAGATCCAAAAAAGTGGATAGAGGAAAACTGTATATCTCCTCTCCTCCTCTTCTTCCTCTTCCCCTCTCTGCTCTCTTGACCTGCCACTTAGAAATATCGACGCTCCTCGATCATCCTTACTTCGCCAACTCCTTCTCCTTGACACTCTTTGGCCATCTTATTACTTTTCCCTTTTATTCCCACACACTGCTGTCTGCTGCCTTCTATTCAATGTAGACTTCTTCCATTCTTCACAGACAGATGCTCATTATCTCCCTTGTTGTCGTTTCCTCCTCACTGATAAATGGTGTGTTCAATAATTCTCTTCCCTTTGTGTCTCTCGCAGTTCTTCATCCTCCTCCTGCTCATCTTCTTCCTGGAGATTCTGTCCATCATGCTTTTCTTTATCTACCAAGACGAGGTAAGACTCCTAAATTGCTTCTCAGCGTGTTGTATCCTGTGAGAGGAGCCCTCCATAATGCAGGTTGAGGATGATTCAGAGAGAATCATGGCATGTAAACTGATAGTATTGAAGTTCATGCGAGCAGTGTTGTTTGTTCCGATAAGAACATGTCAGCTGACACTCTGCATCAATTAGAAAAACTCTTTATTTCACTTTAGGAACTCCACAAATACAGTAAGAAAATACATAATTCACATCTGGCTGGGAGCTAAAATCTCCTATCCCGATATACTTTAGGTTATTTCATATCTCGACAACAATATCACGTCCATGAAATAACCGTAAGGCCCTTTTTTGTATACTCTCAATTAAACACTTGACAAATGAAAAGTATTTTCTCCTTTAATTTAAAACTTAAGTGCTAAATGAACACAAGTTTCAAGTAAAATTATAGCGCAAAATATATATATATATATATATATATATTATATATATATTATATATTTGTTAATCACATTGTGAAGTGTGATGTAAAAACAAAACGGCAATTTTTAAAGTATAATCCTACAAAATACTTCTGACAAATCTGAGTCAGAATGTGCTTATTATCAATATAGACAACGTCATTGTGCATCACGATATCCTGATAATTATATCGCGATGCAATTCCATTAAAATGAGTTGTGTCCTGGTTCATTTACTTTATCATATGTTTAGCTGTGTGAACCCAAAATAAGTAGATTTCTCTGTGATTGAATTGACTATTCACGAATAAAAAGGATACCATCACAAAATAATGCCGATGCATACAAAGATGTTATTCATGCTTTATTAGGTCTGTCTGCCCGACGACAAGCAAACAACTCTTCATGCTGGTGTTCTGAATGGAGTTTGGATTGATTTGTTTCTGGGCTTTGCACACATTGTTCCTGCTATCAGCACTCAGAATTACGTCTTCTCAGCGTAAATATGGTCACAAAGTTATTGCTTATGTCTGGTTAGACAGTCTGGTTTATACCCGTACATCTCTACACAGTTCCGTCAGGTCCCTGTAGAACTTCTCCCACAGACGGCTTTTCTTCCTCCATGTCAGGACGTCAGTAATGAGAGGAGGAGACTCGACACCGATAGGCTTTCGCTACACAGCGTTACGCAAATTCCTTGCTCGAGTTGAAATATTTCATAATTCAAATTAGATTCCATTCCCATCTTTGCATGAAAAGTCAGCTTTGTGTTTGGTGTGAACACAGCACAAAAGCCAGGGGCAGTAACAAAGCGTCTGTGCTGGTGTCTGTGAGGGTTGTGAGCGATGGTTTAATAAAAACTCCTGAGATTTTTCTTTTTTTGCTGAAATGCTTCATGCTCACACATCCTTCCCTCGTTAATAAATCCCCATTTATCTCAGCTCATGCATTCAGGATGATTTCCCCTGTAAATAAACAAGTCAGGCAAGAGACAAGAAGCAGAGGAGCGATCCCCCTCCTCGTATGAATCTGTAATCCCGTCACATTTTCAGCTGAGGTTTTAATAATGCATTGAAAGGGCATGCTGAATTACATCCATCGTGGTCTTAATTAATGCTCCTATCCTCAAATTAACTAACGGCTTTTATCCTTTGCATCCTTTACCCCAGCAATTAAACCTCCAGAAAATGATTGCAATTAAAATGAATACCCAACTGTATGCGTCATGTGCTGTATGTCTTTGTTGACAACCTACAAACTCACTAAATAAAGGAATACTAGTGTGATTAGTTTGGGCACTGGAGGGAATTACATTCCCAGAAGAAGTCTGCGTTGACGCAGCGAAGTGCCTCTAAAAAAAACGGCGTCAAGGCCCTTAAAGATTACGCGTTTGTTATCTTGTAATGCAGAACTGCTGTTGCCACAGTCAGAGGGTTGAGTCTGAACTTATGCAATTATAGAATGAAAAGTCAATTGCATGTATTGTTGCGTTTTAATCAAATTGTTGGTTAAATTAAATTACAGGCACCAGTACAAGCAGGAACAGCAGCAGGAGCAGTGAACAAATGACAGCTACATATTATGTCATGGTTGACGCTCATATTTTAGAAATGAATATTACACAGCATTTAGGGCGGCAACAATTTTCATAACAATTTCCCTAAATGAAAAGCTCAAAACACAAACATATTCAAAGTCAAACAAAATATGAAATGGAGCAAAACGGAAAAGCCTCACATCTGAGAAGCTGCAGCCTGAGAATATTTGAGCAGTTTTGCTTGAAAAACGACTTTGATTATCAAAATTGTTCATCTCATCGATTGAGAACATGGACTCGAGTATCCTGCAATAAGATGAAATGATAAAAATTGACAAATAAAATCTGCAGGTGCTGTAATTTAATTTAGTGCACATTATATTGGACGCCTTCTAGGAGCACTTAATGCCACAGTGGATCGGAAACATAGATCTCCACCATAAGTCATTGGCAATTTCAATCGACTTGCGTTATATTATTCATGTGTTGGTACAGAGAACTCTATCCCCGAAGACTCAGGCCAACCCCGACTCTAATGCCTTTGCACATTTAGATATTCCCCCACTTTTTATTTGGTCTTTTTTTCTCTTTGTTATTCTCAGTATATAACTGCCGAATGTGTTGCATTTCCATCTCCGTTCATCCGTGGTGGTGGAACGCGGTGAGCATTTCCTGACTGGCACATTGTTCTGGGCTTTCAGCCAATCAGCACTGCTCTGCTCAGCTCTTCAATGAATGTTGTCTTTTTGTCCCACCTCTCTCTTAGCATCTGTGTTTCCCTGATGTTCAGCGAGCCCCATTATTCAGCCTCTGAATAATTCAGTTTTGTCCACCCAGGAGTCGATTAGCGGCACAACGCATTAAAATGTTAGTGATGGTGTCGATGTTCTGCAGAGCTGGTGCACCGAGGGAGAGTGCTCACGGTGAATAATGGGTGGCCATTAACCAGTACTGCCATTGATGTTTTATTGAAACAGCAGGTGACTGGTATCATCTGTATATTGTTCAATGTGATCACTGCTGGAGAATTTAACAAAACTTTTACAGTACGATACATCAAAGCACATTTAACAACATGGGTCACAAGAAGGGACTTACACTAACTAAACTTGAACTATCGCAGTGGTATTATGTCACTAATGAAGTAAGGGTGCATGGCTCCTAGACCCAGTTTATTGTCTGTGTTGAATAAAACAGTCCACTTTGTTAAAGCAGTGTGCAGGATTTAGGTTTCTATCGGCATGAATTGATATTCATAACAAGGTTTTAATAGTGTATAATCACCTGAAACTAAGACCTGTTGTGTTTTTGTTACCGTAGAATAAGGCCTTTATATCTACATAGGGAACGGGTCTTCTTCAAGGAGTCCGCCATATTTCTACAGTAGACCACACCGGACAAACCGATCACTGGCTCGAGAGAGAGACATTTGCATTCTACGTTTCCTGGTCGCCACCAAAGTTCTCCAACACGCTTGGAAAAAGGAGGAGTGAGCGGAGGGGGATTCAGTTGGTTGCAATCTGCAACATAACCACTAGATGGCACTAAATCCTACACACTGCTCCTTTAAAGCTAGCAATAATAACTCTACTACTACTCATAGGGGTGTTAAACCACCTGGTTTAGATCACCGTCATGGGTGGTCGGTCAGGAGACAGGAAACAAGAGGCAAGCCCTTCGTCTCATTTTTAACTATCCTTTCTAATTACTTTTTGTGTGCTATATTAGAACATGTTCAGCTGTTTGAATAATACAGACTTTGTCATTATTCATAAGAGAACTGTTTCTGAATCCCATCCAAACAAACCGATTTATAGACGGATATTACTCTACCAAAGTCTAAATCGCAAACTTTTTACTTTTAGTACATATTGCAGCTGTCCTTTCAAAGTATGTAGTGTTACATGCAGTATGCATTCTATTGGAACATACTACTTCATCAAAACATTGAACCCTCTTGCTCATACATCTGCTGCTCAACTGCTGATTGTGGGTCAGAATACCAAGAAAAGGGTGCTGGCTTGCATACGGCAACATGTGACCGGATGCAGTTGGACATCCTGGTATTTTTGGCATACTGCGCATTGGGATAAACTAAAACATTTCTGTCACAGTAAATAGTAAGTAGTATGGGTATTGGAACGCACACTAAGTCACGCTACTCTCCTCCATGTTGTACCTCATTAAAGAATGCAGGATTTGTCTCTCATGTGATGTTAGATTACGTTTTGGGCGTGAAACCACGTCTTACTGGACCCAGTCTCCAGAAGAATTTAACTGAGAAGAGTGAAAAGAAATTGACGAATCTTTTGATGGTAATGAGAATGTATTCCAGTAACGATGCATTCACTTCATGAATCCCGGCGCCTCGCTCCCTCCTGCATGAAAGTACATCATCTTCTTTTAGTAGTATCGTTATCAGGGATTCTGGTGCTGGTGTTATTTGGTCTCATATCCCCACTCCACTGCAAACCAAACATTTAAAACATCTTTAAAAACAGGATTCAAACTGTATTGTAGTAGTCTTAGTTCTGTTATTGAAGTAGTTCAAACATAATTAAAACAGGGTGTTGAGGGAAACGTGGGGTCATTTATCATCAGCGGGGAATATACTTTGAATACGGCCTACTTAAACAAAACATTTAATACTTCTGTCCATGCACACAAGTATGTTTGGACTGAGTTTTAAGAGATCCTCGTGTGCGTTGCTTTGATTTCTATCCCATGTGTTTGTATTTTGTAGTTCATCTCTGATTATCAGGACCTGCTGCTTTTTTCCCCTCCTCCGTCACCATGGTAACAGTCCGGCAGCCTTCCAGATGCCATGACTTAACGGGAGCGCAGCAGTAGGTGCATGTTGATGAACTCCGTCCCAGGCTGGTCACGCTCAGCGGTCCAGTTTATTACACCTGCTTTAGACCCGATAAAAAAGCGCTGCGACGCAGCTGGAAACTACTTCAAACAGCTCACAGATCTTCCTAACACCTTCTTGCGCCTGAAACGGTCACCGTTTGTTT